AATTAACAAATAAATTTTATTATTAATATAAAGAAATAAATTTTTCATATGGAGATGTGTTGGTTAATTTTTTTTCTTCAATCTATTTTATTTTATTTTTTAATTTATGTATTATGTTTTTCTTGAAACTAATCGAAAATTTTAATTTTATATGTGTTAAATTCATTTTTTTTCTTTAAAAAATGTAAAATTTTAAATACTTACGAACTATGTATCCAACAAAAATAATCTAAATTAATTATTTAAATACAATTAGAGACACTCTAATAGTTGTTACAGTCAAAATATTTATTGTATGTTAAAAAATAATAATTTATCAATTTTCAATATGGGCAATTGTATGTTAAAAAATAATAATTTATCAATTTTCAATATGGGCATTCCATACGCTTGAATATAATTTATTGCCTTCCCAATGAATAATGAATATCCTGAACAAAAAAGGATATTGAAAACAAGGTATGAAATTGTTATATGTACTTGAATTAATTAATTTATATCTTGAATCCATTTTGTTACAGTAGGGCTGACACTATGAATTAATTAACTTACATTCAACTAATTTTATTTTTATCATTAATTAATTTATATATTGTATACAGGACTTGTAGTATGAATTAATTAATTTGCATCAATGAATTTAATTTTTTGTCATGATATGTTTTAGGTGAGATTCTACAGCTCCGTTACGGAACCATTCCATCGAAAATTATAACTGTTAGATCAACTATTCACGACGTTATATTATGATCTAACGGTTACAAATCCCGACGGAATGGTTCCGTAACAGAACCGTAGAATCTCCCCTAAAATAGATTATTTATGATACTTTAATTTCACAGCCGTTCTGCAGTACGTACTATGGTACATATACTCGAATTCCTTTTATTCAGTCAATTTCTTCACACTACTGTCAACATGAATTAAACAAAGTGGTCAAGGTTTGCCTTATTGTACATGACTTTGAAGTGACCTTTTTTAAATATAAAAAAAAAAAGTTGATTATTCATAAGTGTCACGGTTTTTGTAATGTCTACAAACTTATGTTTTTTTCAGTACAAAATTCATGATTGAAGTGGAAAACGTTCAGAAGTTGAATACAAGAAAAAAAGGCGATAGAAGTAATTATATTTGAATGTATAGTTTTTGTATGTGCTTTGTATTTTTCTAAATAAAACAACTTTTTATTTCTTAGACAACAATTTCATTCTTGCAATGTATTAATTTATGTTTGGTATTGGTATATAGCACAATTTTTTGTTGTTCTGGATTATATCAATTTAATATGATTGTTCAAATTTCATTTTCACTTAGTTTTATGAATTATCATGGTTGGTTTTATGTTGACGATTGCTTTGTATTATTATGAACATGAAAATAATTAAAAATATTAATGCGACGGTCGTCCTCTTACGAACAAAAAGAACATGGATATAAAGAAGTATTGAATAATATTTAATCTTTTATTTGTATGGTTATACTTTGTTTATTGACGTCAATTTCTTTTAATATGTCCCGTGCATTTGCGCGGGCAACAATACTAGTTAATTAAAGAAGGACGGAGAAAACAAACTAAAATAAAAACATTTTTTTTTCTTTTTTTTTTTATGAATACAAAACGAAAAAGGGTCTCGGCGCTTGGCTTTCATCATCATCATCAGCTCTCTCGACCTGCATTGGAGGAGGCAATCGAGGTGAACACACGTTAATCGCCGAAAAAATTGGGTTTTTAATTCAACTGTTTATCCTTCTCACGAACCCATCAAACTCTTTTTTTTTTCCTCTGTAACACCTTTTGCAGCTTATCAAGATTCAGGAGTTGCGCCTGCAAGCGACGTCGATTTGCATTTAGGTAATCTTTGCTCACATGGGTTTTGCATATTTTCAATGGGCCACGGGCGCTTTTTCTTATTCTTATTTTGTAGGTAAATATTGGGGTTTTTTATTCTTATTTTTGTCTTTCAATGAGTTTAACGGATCTGTATTGAGAAAAGTTGGTGCGATTTTTTTTTTCTTTTTCTTTTTGAGTTTCTTTGCATTGGGAAATCTTTTGTTGAGTGGAAAGGCTCTAGCTTTAGGGTTCTTGTTTCATTTTATTTTTATTTTGTTGGTTTGGGTTGTTGTTCCATATTGCATAGAGGATCATGATGTGTTCATGATAGTTATTTCGTGATTTTTAGCTGTTATTTAGGATTTTCTTGGTGGTTTCACTTTTCAGATTTTTTGTTTAGAGATAGGTAATTATATAGGTTGGGGAAAAACTGGCAATCTTTCACAATTTAACTTAAGTTTTGCTTTCTCTCTTAAGTTTCGAACTCAAGTGTTTTTTTGAATGGGTTTAACCGTTCAATGACATTGTTCTCTTCGATCAGAATCCACGTGTTGTTTGCTTATGAAACTTTTATCGATCAAATAAATGCATTTGATAGCCAAAATAAATCTGTACTCGTAGAATTCACCCGTTGTGATTACCAATGCTCGTTTGTTTTTCCTGTTTTATCCTTGTGGCCCCCTTTAAGCGGATGTTGGTTGTTTGATGTGTCGAAGAATGTGGAAAATCGCCTATCGCCCATATATATAATTCTCGAATGAGCTGAGCTTAAGAGGCAGGCTCGTGTGCTTCGTAAGCTTATTTGACATAAATTGGTGCTTCATATATATTTTTTTTTTTGGTACAGGGACCTTCCAGTTTTCGGATCCACAGGGAAACCGACTAATCCGGAATCGAGCCGGGTAGGACCACAAGGGCGACAAAGCTCTCCCTCAAGAGTTTTAACACTGCTGCATTCCCAGGGCTCGAACACGAGACCACTGGTTAAGTTAGAAGAGACCCAAGCCATCTCATCCAAGCGCTCTTGGGTAATTGGTGCTTCATATTGAGACATGTTCAGATTTGGTTTTGACTATTAGGATTGAGAATTACCTTAAAGTATTGAAGCTTTCATTTTTTCTTAAGTTACCATATACTACTGTTACCTTTTTTATTTAATTTATATATTAATTATTATAAATATGTAATCTCTTTCTTTTTAAAATTTATAAATTTTTTATTTGTATTTTATTTTTTATATAGCATCTACCAAAATAATCATATTTAAACGATCTTTGATTTGACATCCGTATTGTATATATAAAATAAAAAACAATTTCATCTATATTTATAAATAAAAAATCAACTTTATTGTCAACTCAATTTAAAAAAAAAAAAAAATAGCAATATAAATTATTTTATAAAAAATATTAAAAATCTAATTCATTATACACCATAAAATAATCATTTTACTGTTTTTTCCATAAACTTTGGATAAAATTACATAAAATAAATTTTAAGAAATTATAAAATATTATTACTCAATTAAATAGATTATATAAAAAATTTAATGTTATTATGTTATTTAAAATAGTAACTATAAATAATATCATAATTAAATATAATAAAATAATTTTGTATTTCATAAAGTTAGAAAATAATGCATTTCTACGTAAATTCTAAAATAGTAATTATATAGAATACTTAAAAAATTAATAAACGTGAGTAATTGACTCTATAAATATGAATATAATCACAATACAATAAAATTTGTTTTGTTTGAAAAAAAATCAAATATATAAAGTTGTAAATAATATCAGTTTTATATATATATATATTATTTTAAAAATATAATTAAAAGTATTATTTTTTTTTTTCAAATTTAGTGTAAATATACAGGCACCATTTGAAATAACTATCTCCTTGTTAGTTATTTATTATTGTTGCATATTCATAATACATAATTTCACAATAAAAATGTAAATTATTTTAATTTTTATTGTACTAACATTAATATATTTAAGTACCCGTGTAGTACACGAGTATTGTATTAATGATAGAATTAACACCCAAAATTTATGGGAGGCAATAAATTTATGGTAATAAAAGAGATATCCTCCCTATATATAATTTCAGAATGCGCTGAGCCTACGTGGCTACTTCTGGTGCTTCGGAATCCTATTTGGAAAAGAATCATGCTTCGTAATTAGGTTTGGACAAATAATATTAATATATTAATAATTAATAATTTAGGTTCGGGTATTCCATAAATATTATTTAGTTAACTTCGGTATTTTAATATCACTTTTACTAATATAACCCTTTAATTATTTGTAATTTTACATAGTGAGACACTAAGTGACTAATATATCCCTAAATTTTGATTTGCTTCCTTCAATAAGCTATTGAATTATAAATGTATTTTAAAAGTAGATAACTTTTGTATTTCTTATCGGTTTTACATATATAATATATCAAATTAATAATCTTTTGATGATCTTCGATTTGACATCCATATTGTATATATAAAATAAATAAATTATATTTATCTTTATAATAATAAAAAATAATAATATTTTTTAAATTCATTAGAAAAATAAAATTATTTCTCAATTGATATATTTATATTTAATGTACTTATATAGTGTAAGTTAAAAAAATTAGTATAATATAACACAAGTAAGTCGCACAAATAAAAAGTATCATAATAAATATATAATAATATATATATATATATATATATTCTTATAAAAGGTATTTAAATTTTCAAACTACTTTTTCTCATTAATTTTAAATTTTAAGAAAAAAAATTAACAAACACCCCTGTAATACACAGGTATTGTACTAGTTTATAAGATGAAACACTGTAAGATGAAATAATTATTTATGGTTGATCCAAGCCGATTATGTTTTCAAATTTTTTTTATCTGAACATAAATACAAAGTATAATAATTTGAAACGTATGGTTCTAAAGTGTGCGAGCCTGCCAGTTTGTCTTTACGCGTTATGAATTAATATAATAGGGGGATATAGGGAGATGAGCAGATTTGTGCATAACACGGGTTTCGTGCACGGGCACAGCGAATCTGATTCATAGCAAAGGTAGAGAGCCCTCAGTCCCCCACTTTCGATTCTCATCAGTGTTTGCCCTAAAAATCAAATTGCAGCTGTTTCTTTTGAGGAGAACACATGCCCAAGTACAGAGACGAGCCTCCCGCGGTCCGCGTTTACACAGTTTGCGATGAGTCCAAGTGTGTATTCGTCGCATTCGGTAATTTTCGTTTACGATTGGGGTCGTAGCAGCTTATTTGATTCTTTATTTATGCTGCAGATACCTAATTGTGAGGAATGTTCCCTCACTGGGTTGTGGCGATGAGCTCTTGAAGCTTTTCTCCACTTATGGCAAAGTTGACGAGTAAGTCATTCCATAATTTTTTTTTTTTTTTTTTGGTACAGGGACCTTCCGTTTCCGGATCCACATGGGAACCGACTAATCCGGAATCGAGCCGGGTAGGACCACAAGGGCGGCAAAGCTCTCCCTCAAGAGTTTTATATGTATATAACATCAACTTATATAGATATCTTTGGGAACAATTTTGTGTGTGGTTTGAATTGGTTTTATATGCATTTTCCTATCATTTACGTAATAAATCAAAAGGTAGTGCGATTCATGTGTGACAAATGAATTGCAGTGTTTGGTCTTTTGTGTAGCAACCTTGAGTTGGATTGGGTTTCTTTATGTGATTTTTGAATTAAATTACAAATCGAATGTTGTTCGTAATTTTTCTTTTAGATGTAAGCCGATGGATGCTGAAGACTGTGAGGCCTACACTGATGTTTACTGGATCAAGTTCCATCAGGTCAACAATTCCAGGTGATTGTGGCTCACTAGTGTGACTTTTCTTGGATATTTAATTGCTTGTTTATTTTCTTTGCTGCTTAATGATTCAGAAAGAATATATATCATGTTCTGTCTTTGTGCTTAGCGTGTTATGTGGATTACAGGTTGTGTGCTGTTCTCGAAATGCTTCTGGGATTCTCAGAGGCTTGATTTTTAAATTTTTTAATGTGTATATATATATTAATCTTTTTTCTGTTGATGATAGATTTGCCAAAAGGAAGTTAGACGAGTCTGTTTTTCTAGGAAACAGACTAAGAGTATCATACGCGCCTGAATATGAGAGCTTATCCGATACAAAAGAGAAGCTAGAAGGGCGGAGGAAGGAAGTTGTAGCACGACTAAACTGTAAGTCCACATTAACATTTAAGAGAGGATTAACAATCGAAAAATATGGCTCTTTTGTTTTACACCAATTACCATTCATTTTGATATTTTAAAATGTGCCCACTACTGTGGTTTATATGTTTCCTGATAATATTTGGGCCTTTTTCCCAATTCAGTCAAACATTAAGGGTATTTTTTTTTTTGGTTGTGTAATATCTCACATTATCTCACTTTGCCTGCCAATACAATGCATTGATTCAACCAAAAACTCATTTGTAATTATTTTATTTCAGCTAAAAGATATAAAGGAGGTCCATCAGATTACACTCCTTCAGTTTCCACTCATTTGCCCAAGGATGCATGTGCTCTATCACGTTCCTTAGTTTCAAGGTATTGGTAGGTTCACTGATTTATAATAGTTGTATTATGATTTCCTTGTTTCACCAGCGTAGATAATTTGCCTTTTTTTCCCCCATTTCGTAGGCAGTCGAGTGAGTCACAAGCTGCTGCAAGTGGAAATACACCCTCTGACCTATCTGCTTCCTCTTATAAGGTTTGCTTATTACTACTTTTTTCCGAGTTATGTACAAGTGAAAAGTTCGTTTAATGACGAGAAATATGGGGAATGTAGAGTTAACGAGTGAACGGAAAAAGAAGGATAGTATGGGAAATAATACATGAAATATTATTGAATAAGGAGATCTGATTCCATCTCGTGGACTGATGATTGATTGAAATTTGAAAGTGAAGTTTTTCTCAGTATTCTCTTGCGGAACACATTTTTCTTTCCTATAGCTGATAAAACTTTTTTTTTTTTTTTTTTTTCCCCAATTGAATGATGTCAGGAATATTTCCCCTCCGAATCTATGAATCGAACGGTTCATTTGGTGAGGGAGAAACTGAATAAGGTGACGATGTTCAGCATCATTGATTTCCTCCTTTTTTCTTTTCTTTTCTTTTTCTTGGCTGTCCATTTAATGCTTCTTTCATGCTGAAGTTTCATTTTTACGGGATTTAGATACAATCAAGTTCAGATCATACAGAAGCTGGTTCTTCCAAAAGGACGCGCGTCGACAATAGAAGAAGAATTTAAGTTGGTCATAAAAAACGGTACGCAAGTTCTTCAGACTAGTATCCGAGTACTTCTATGATAACGTTTGCTGAGTTTTTCCCTCTTTTGGTTAGCTTAGGTGGTCAAAGTTTTTGTAGACCTTAGTGTTAAAAACTCTGTTCCAAAAATCAGCCTAGGTAGGTGCCTAGACACTAGGCGGCACCTGGACGCCACGATTTTTTTCATAGGCGGTCATTATAGACACTCAGATGATTAGACAGCGTCTAGGTAGACTAGGCTGTCATTCTAGGCGCTCGGACGACTAGATGGCGTCTAAGCAGACTAGGAAGTTGTGAAGTTGGTCTATTAGCCCAGCCCATTTTAAAAACAAAATATTTTTTAAAATAATTAAAATATTTTAATATTTATTCATGAAATATACAATAATTATATAATAAATAATAATAATAATAATACAATAATTATCAATTTATAGAATTTGATTTATCTTTATATTTGATCATAGTACGTAATTATAATTATATACAATACATCTTATAAATTATGCATGATAATAAAATAAACAAATTTTATTACTATTTTTATGACCACGCCTAGGCGCCACCTTATCCCGCTTAGGTTTCCTAGGTGCTAGGCCCTAGCCTGTCGCTTGGCGAGCGTCTAGCGCCATTTAGAACATTGGTTAAAAATAAATAAGGATTAGGAGATTGTAATATTTGTGTATTGGCTTCGACGCACACACACACACACACCAATGAACATGGAGTTTTTGTTTATTGAGCAGCCAATAGAGAATTACCAATCCACACTAAATGATATATAATTTTTGAACGTGTTGAGCTAAATGGTATAGAATGACCCACTACTGTTTAGATTTCATCTTGTGTCTTTAGCACAAAAACCTGCTCGGTTTTTCTTCATACCTAATTTGTGCAACGGGTGAATCTCTCAAATAGTGAGCGGATTATTTAGAAACATATATATGAACACATCAACAGCTCTTTGCATGCAATTTTTAAATTTTTTTCTTCATACCGATTCTCAACAAGTGAATGGATTTTAGAAACATATACACAAACACATCAACAGCTCTTCACACGCAAATTTTTAACTCACATCTTCTTTTTTATCCTCAGACCCATTGAGATGCAGTTCAGTGTGTCGTCAAGTCCAAGAACAAGATTCCCATACACCCGACCTATTCAAGAAAATGACGGTGGTTGCTTAGATTTGTTTTGCTTCCTAATAACCTTTCTGTGTTATGGTTTTGCTGCAGATATTCCTAATTACCTTTCTGTGAGTGATATATATGACATGACCAGCAAGTAGTGGATTTTCATCTTGGCATTTGATACAAACTGTGAATATTTCAGGCAGCATCCCGTTTCTTGATAGAGTGATGCGAGACTTCAGTTTCTTCTCTTAGTTGATGCATTGTGAGCAAAGAATGTATTAATCTTTGTCATGCCAAACATAGAAACAAAATTTTACGAACACAGGGAACAAATTTTTGAGATGAATGATATAGAAAAATTATCCATCCCACTGACGAGCGAAAAAGATTGGCCAATCCATGCGTTTGTGATTTAAAAATATATCAGAAATACAAAAATGAAAACTTCTCTTGTAAAATGGAAAACTTATTTGTAAGGGTTTTTTTTTTTTCAAAACGATAGAAAATCTCGTAAATAGCAAAACAATGTTTGAATACGAATACAAACCAAGTCCAAAGTCGAAATAAGGGAGAATCACTCGCAGATGGCCTAAACAATAGGAAAATAACCAAGGGAGCTCAAGCGGTTATAACATCAACCGGGACTTAAGTTCCCCAACCCAACACTAGAATAAAGACTTCTACTGATCAAAGACCCTAGACCATCTTTATTGTTGCCTCCTCCTATTCAAGAATGAAAGCTGGTGTGCCTTCTCAAATTCAGTCCAGTCTTTGACAACTGCAACTACAATGACGTGGGCCGGCCTTGAAGTGAGGTGGGCCGGCCTTGAAGTACCCTAAAAAACCCAAAGATTTTGGGATTTCCAGAGCCATCATAATATGTATGTAGAAAGTTGGATTCTGCCTTCTGAAATGTCTCTATGATTGAGAGCATAAATGTGCCACCACCAGGTTGCACTGTGTCTAATCCTTTTGGACCTTCCCATTGCACAAGAGATAGCTTCCATACCAGTCGTGCCTTATTACAGAAGAACAAAACATGCTTTATTGTTTCCTCAGCTAAGCCACACACTTTGCATGTTTGATCAATTTCCATGCCTTTTTTCAAAAGATTGACCCCCACAGGCAGGATACCAGACACACATTTCCAAATAAAATGTTTGATCTTACCTTTCACTTTAAGCTTCCACAGTCTGTTCTTACCTGCTGATCCCTGATGAAAGAAACACTGCTTTGGGCTTTGTCCATCCTTAGGAGCTTTTGCTGAGTGAGGACATAGTATGCCTTGGAGACTGAGAAGGCTATTTTTTATCCTGTGTCCAGATCCACTTATCTTGTAAATTAGGGTTGAGAGTGTTAACTTGCATAATGGCTGAACAATCTTCAGGAGAGAAATTCTGTCTAAGAATTTGGATATCCCAGTCACTGCCATTAGGTAAGAGAAGATCCTTAACCCAAATCAAATTAGAACCTGTACTGGTTTAAAAGATATTCTTCTACCATTCAAGTTTTAGAACCCAAAAGTCTTCCACAATTCTAGTACTCTTTCCATTTCTGACCATTGCCATCATCCATTTGCCACATCTGTCTTTAACTTTAACCCAAGTATGACACAACCATGAAGAATTATTCTTCCTTTGTGTAGTAGATATAGAGACATCTGAAAAGTACTTAGTTTTGAGAACCCTACTTACCAGGAGATCAGACAGAGTCAGGAGTCTCCAAATCTGTTTTGCAATAAGGGCCTCATTAAAAAGATGAATATTCTGGAAGCCTAACCCACCATGGGTTTTTGGCAGAGTCAATTGATCCCATGCTTTCCACTGAATGCCTCTACTGGTGTTGTCACCCTTACTCCACCAGAACCCTGCACAAACATTAGCAATCTCTTTGTAGAGGCTTTTAGGAAGCATAAAGTAGGACATACTAAACACATGAAGGGCATTAATAACAACTTTAATTAGTACTTCCCTCCCTGTTGGAGAGAGCCATTTGTTTTTCCAGCTTTGGATTCTGCTTTTGACAATAAAGAGTGCATAAGAGAAAGCCTCCCTTTTTGATTTTCCAATACCCAGTAGCAAGCCTAAGTATCTGAAAAAAGAATGTTGCTTTATTCCATGGCGCTCTTGGACAAATGAATCCTGCAATTCCTGAGAAGAATTCTTGCTAAAAAAAGATGGTGGATTTATCAAAATTAACCTGTTGTCGAGTAAAAAGGTAGTATTCATTCATAATTTGCAAAAGTTTCTGAACTTGGAAAGTTTCTGCCTTACTGAATATCAATATATCATCTGCAAAGGAGAGATGAGTGATTTCAGGTCCATCTCTTGCAAGCTTCAATCCTTTAAAACCCCTCATAGAGGCCTCAGAAGAAATTCTTGCAGACAACAATTCAGATTTTATAATAAAGAGATAGGGTAGAAGATCTCACTGTCTAATTCCTCTACTTGTTGTGATGTATCAACAAGGCTTGCCTTTGATATTAAAAGAGAAATAAGGAAAAGAAATGCATGCCATAACCCATTTTACAAAAGCGGGGTGAAACCCCATTTTCGTAAAACCATTCAAGTCTATCAAATGCTTTGATCATGTCTAATTTTAAAGCCATAAAACAATGCAACTCACTTCTGTGCTTATTTAGGAGATTAAAAGCCTCATGTGATATTACTAAATTGTCGAGTAACTGTCTACTAGGTAAAAAGGCAGCTTGGGTTTCAGATATACATGAAGGTAGACAGTTCCTTAATCTCAATGCAATAATTTTGGATATGATATTGTAAAATACTACACATAGGCTGATTGGACTAAATTGAGAGATTATGGTGTGATTCCAGTACCTTAGCATCTGACCAGAAGTGAAAAGGCTTTGGACAACTGAGCTGATATCTGTCTTGACCATTGGCCAAAAATGCTGGTAGAAAAGAGCTGGCATTCCATCTTCACCTGGTGATTTGTCAGGGTGCATGATGAACATAGATTTTTTAATGTCAACTTCAAGTTCATGGGAGATCAGTTCTTCATTCATTCCTTCAGTGACCGTGTTTGGTTAAAAGGCAAGAGAGTGTGACCCCCAGATGAGACCTGTGAGGTGTATAGGTTGGAGTAGAATACTGTGATTATTCTTTCTATCTCCTTTTGATTTTCACATATCTCATTGTTCTTATTGAGAAGCCTTTCAATAGATTGGCTTTCCTCCTTTGAAGGGCATATACATGAAAGAACTTGGAGTTTCTATCTCCTTCCTTCAGCCAGAGAGCTCTTGCTTTTTGTTGCCAAAATATCTCCTCAGAGCACCGAGCATCATCCAAATCCTTCATCAGTTTGTCCCACTTTGCCCAGTTCCATTCACCACCTTCTCGTCTCATCTCCTCCAGGCTTAAGGAGAGATTTGAAATTTTATCCTTGCTGAGAGCTCTAAAATGTCTACTCCAAAGTAGAAGAGCTATTTTGGATTTCTTTTTTTTTTCTTTGACTGAATACATTGGAGTAATCCCTGCTTCATAATTTCAGGCCTTTGTAACTACCTCATGTAACCCCTTTTGCTTCAGCCATCTTCTGTCAAACTGAAATCTTCTACTGTTGTGTTGAGAGTGGGCTTCTGGTGAAAGCACTAGCATGTAGTGATCAGAGGAGCTTCTAAACAGCTTGTAGCATGTGTATAAGGAAAGGATGACAACCACCCTAAGGATGCAAATGCTCTATCCAATTTTTCCTCCACATAGCCTTCTCCTTCCCTGTTATTTCCCCAAGTAAATTGTTGAAATTTTTCCTCCACATAGCCTTCTCCTTCCCTGTCATTTCCCCAAGTAAATGTTGGCCTTGTAAAGAGATTTCTTGCATTCCCATA